AGATCAATAAAACTATTAGGAAAAAGACGGGTATTCTTTTAAAATTAAGACATTATGTCCCACGGCATATTCTCCTTTTGTTATACAAAACGTTGATTCAGCCTCATATCACCTATGGTTTAGAAGTTTGGAGTAGTACATACCCGTCAAATCTTAAAGTTATACATAGCGCACAAAAAATGATAGCCAGAATTATAACGTTTTCCGACTTTACTGCGCATGCTCCACCAATTTTTAATACTCTCCAAATTCTTGATATTTTTAAACTTCATAAGTCATTACTTTTAAGTTTTATGTATGATATAACTCATGAGAATCTCCCACAATCAATGTCAACATATAATTTGCAGTATTTACATCATAAATATAGAACACGACAAAGATGTCAAAATGATTTACTTGTACCTAGAATGAACACAGTAACGGGGAAATTTGCAATATCTTATTTAGGGGCCAAACTTTGGAACAGCATATCAATTTCTTTAAGGTCTAAACAAAAACTTACATTCAAAAATACTATACGGGAAAATTTAATGTCAGAGTATTTAGAATAGAACTAATATTTATTATAAATGTATGTATATACATATATATATATATTATTATATTATCATATTTGTTTATTTGAAATATACTGAGGTGTAACCTACTGTCAGTCTTAATTTAAGTCATTAAATTCAAGTTATGTCAGGGATCTGACTCAACTAGCTTTTAAGCTATTTCAGATTCCATTTTACCTAGACTGCATGTACAATTTTAAGTATTGTATGAAATATTTTTCTAGGTAAATAAATTATTATTATTATTATAAAAAGTTACATCTACCTATCTACATTACTTTTGGTTTCAATATTGCTAGAAACAAACTATGTATTTCCTTAATACTGTAAACTGTTACAATTTTGCAAATCAAATTTTCATGTCAGTGAAATTCATAAAAGTTTGTAGCAGTGAAAATTTGAGTGTCAGTGACTTTGGCGAAATTTTGTTGATATAAATGCCATAAAAATATCAAATCACAAAATGTTCTAGCTGCAATAAATCAATGGTTTACAGTATAACGCCACTGTACTGATACAATCAATATGAAAATATGACAGTTATGTAAATTCTACTGTAATCAATACTGAAAGTTCATATTTTTCTATAGGTTCAGGGGAGTGATAACCCTTAAGCACAAAATTATTTCCTGCTTAAATTCAGTAAATTTGTTCACATTTTCGGTAATTTTCACTGAATTTTCTTAGTTTTGGACCAAACAGACAAAATGTGACATGCTTCTAGTTTTTGATCAAAAATTTTAAATTTTCACAACATTTCATGTAGAAAAGAGCAGACTATAAATGGAACTATTTTGTGGATGGTGACTGAAATTGACTTCAGCACTCAAAGAAATAAACAGAAATGTTTATCTTTACCTATATGCTGTATTCTAATTATCGCTGCATGAATCAACATCGGCATCAAATGTAAGGCGACCTCTGCTGGTTTGAGTGACGCCAAGTAGTGTAGTACTTTCTCAGCTTCTTTGGTGTCGTCAAATAGTCTTTTCTGTCTTCGTGCAGGAACAGGTTTAGCCTGGCTCCACACCTCTTGCCACATGTTACCAGGAATCTATAAGAAGCAATATGTGATCAGGTATATGAATTTTCACACAAAGAAGTAATGCATAGAATCAGTTGACACTCCAAGTTATTATGATGTGTCAGGAAGCGCATACAAGTCAATCTCAAATTTATTGTACAAAACATCTACAGGTACATAAATTACTGCCCACCCATTGGTCCAAGACAGGCAACTTTCCAGTCAGGCTGGTAAAATATGTTCTTAATTTGCTTCAAACAAAATTTTGAAAATGCAATTTTACTAAGCAATATTGTTAGATAAAGTGAACACCATTCTTCTCTAATCTCTCAAACAAAAATTGTGAAATAAAAAATTTTGCAATTTAAAATGGAAAAATTAAAATTATCTGTTTTGCATGTCAGCAGAATGTTGTGTTTTTGCGGTGCTTACTTAGAATGGAAATGGAAGTCTTTTCATCACAAATTCACAAACTAGTCCTGTTTATAAGTCAGCACTTTCCTTCAGAAGATTGGGAAAGAATAGCAAAATTTTTTGATTAACATTAAAAATTGACTCAAATTTTGTTTGTTGGCGGCAAAATTAGGGTTTATTTCCAGAAATAGTGAAGAATATAAGAAAAAGGTGCAGGTAAATTTTGCCGAGAAAGTCTGGTGGTGAAAAGGTTAGGATAATCTTTAATGCAGGGCTGGTGACATTCTGCCTAGTGTCTTGCCCACAATTTTGAGAAATTCACAATGCTCATCCATACATGCTGCGTGGTTATTTTCAAAATTCAACAATGGAGTTTGTCAACAGCCATCAAAGCTGTACTGATGTGTGAAAAATTACATCTTTGCCAACTTCAGATTTGGATAGTATTGATTCCTGAAATATTGCAACACCCCACTTTCAATAGTTTACTTCTTTACTCATCCCTTCATGATAGTTTGTCTTAATCTTAATTTTGAAGTCATCAGTCAAGTTCTACACATTAGTTGCCGCTAATTCATTTTTAGCTGTTTTACTATGTTTGGTAACACTTTTACTTAATTATTTTTTTAAAAATTATTCCAAGCACCTCAAAGTAGATACTCAACATGGTTAAAAACTTCAAAGTTTAATAAAAGTTTGTTTGCTTTTTTATTTCCTGTATCAAACCAGGTTTGAAAACTTTTTGGACAATAAAAAAAAAGAAGTAAACATAAAATTATAATGTTATCATGGTTGATAACGTAAGAAATGCACATCTGTGTTTAAAGTTGGAACTTAACAAAATGCAACAAATTTTCTGAAATTAACTGATAATTAGTTTTAACCCTTATCCTGCCAGCCCTATTGACCAGATAAGGGTTAAATTAGTGTATTTCATAACTCACCATCATTCTAGAGCTGAGCTTTCCTTTCTTCATCCTGTCTCTGTCTTCTTCATTCATATCAGGATGTGGTGTGTTACAGCTGTCATCGTCTTCTATGTAATCACGTGGTGAGTACCACCGTACAAAGTCTTCCAGCATGCACCCAGGATTGGCAGCCTAGAATAAAGCAAGAAAAAGGGTTATGGGTTTAAATTATCTTATTCTACAGTCAATGGTTCAGGTTCTTCTTTGATGGACTGCAATTGTTACTGATTATCTTCTTTTCCAGCCCAAAATTTGTTTCTCTGGCCATCAACTCCCTACTTTTATCTTGGAAGATATTTTATTAAGAATGTGTATTATAGTGGGTTTCTAGACATCCAGCCATTTTGTTTTTAAGTCCATTAATACATACTTAGCCACTCTGATTGGTTGCATGCTTTACAAAAACTTCCAATCAAATCAATGTACTGAGATCAAATATAAGGCTTTTCAGTAGAATCACGTACAACTTTGAGTATTTTTGCATCAAGTTTGTGAAGCATGTAATTCAGACAGAATGCTGATTATAAACCTCACAAATTAACAATTTTCACCAATAGCAACTATCGTAGTGTATTACTGCTAGTCAAGACATGATGCACACCAGGCTTATAGCCAGCTGCATATCTGCCAGTAATAGACAGGCACTCCACATAATAGACAGGTACAAAATGGCAATTTAAAGTGCTATTTTTTATTTCGATAAAATATTTTAAACAAAATGTTAATTTATAGGCAAAATCTTTACAAAACTGTCCAATTTTCATTGAAAATTATTTGTAAATTACAAAACACCATAAATAATCCACAAAAAAATATTATAAGTTTATGGTGACAGACTAGAAAGTGCTATTTTTCATTTTGATAACAATTTTTAAACAGAAACTTTAAATTTTCTGGCTGTAACCCTGATATAAATACAGACAAATAAACAGATGAACTTAATTTTCAATGAACTTTTGAAAAAAAAAACCTCTTGAAGTCTAGATTATGTTTAATATGTTTACAAGTATGTTTATCATGAACTATTTTCTGAAACAGTAGTCAAAAAACGTATATACCAACACTGTATGTAGGAAATGGCAATTTGTTTATGTTGGAACACTCGCTGGAACAAACCCTGAGGAGCAAGTGAGTGCACTCGAACAGTTGATTATCTGACTTTAAATTTTTACCTACTAATATTTAAACACTATAATTAATATCCATAATTTAATTTTGTATTTTTAGTAGGAAACTGTATTTATTAGTTTCTTGAATATTTACAATTAAATAGTGGCTATTCACTGTTTAGGCCTAGATAAGAATGCAAAAGCCACGATATAATAAATGCACAGTGAGCATTGGTTACAAGGGGCGTATTGGCCAATCACAATTTTAACATGTAAAAGTACTGACATAATATATTTGATAGATATTAACTGTCCCTACCTTGAATGCTTCCATATCTGATAGCAGACATGCACTTTGCATTCTAGCTCTGAGTTCAGCCCCTTCTTCTGAGGTGCCTAGCTCTGCTAACACTGTGGCATGTTCCTCTAACTGGTCCTCTGTCATTGGAGCTGGATCCTAAAATTATGAAAATTGTAGTTTAATATCAGGAATGGACAGCACATAGAATCTGCAAATAAGGGAAGAAATTGCGCATTCATTTCAATACTTGTATATTTCAGGATGAATATTATATTTTTAATATTAAGAATACTATACAAAAGAAGAATCTGTTTTATAGTGAGGGCAGTGAGATCGGCCGTGTTCTTTAGATAACTTGAATGTGTAAGGAAGAATATGGAAGGATTATAAATACCCTAAGAGTTTGAAAATAATGCACTTCTGGTTTACGGGTGGGCACCATTTTGTTTGTTGTTATGCAAAGTAAGACAGCTCATTAATGATAAAACATCTTCAGAAATGTTTTTAAATGACAAGATAATTGTTCTATTACAACAAACTAAAATTTTAATGCTAAGAAACGACACTGAAGACCATGTCTTGTCTAAGAGTAGAAAGGGTGTGAGCCTCAATCAAAACCTGCTTTGTGATGTGACATCCGAGTTGTGAGTGGCGTGATCTTGAATTCCATTGACTGATCACTCGCACATGAACTCAATGTCTACATTTCACATTTGTTGACGTTGTATGGATTTAGTGAAATCAATAAATTTCTTAGCTCTACTCACTCACTAGGCATTGTCTGCTACATATTATCACTCTACCAGGGGGGTATATTATAAACAACTGACATGACATAGTCCCCGTCATAAATTAGTAAATAATATATTACATTCAGATGTGTAATGGGAGAAAAATGACAACAAGAACAATTTGTTCCAGTTAACTAAAACAAAAAGATGTGCATTAAGATTCCATGATCATCGATTTATATGTTCATGTACTAAATTTGATTGAAATCCATAAATGCAGCACAAGATCTGATTCCAGAAATGCTTAACTTAGATGCATTTAACCACTATATCATTTTACATAGTTAAACCATACCTATTTTACACCAATCACGTTGAGTATCAATGAATAATTTGAGGTAAAGGTCAAGCTATGCACAAGATTTGTCAAAGACACACTTTTTGATTGGTTTAAGGTAGGTATGGGTTAATGTAGTAAAATGATCGCAATTCATCTATCCTAAAACAGATGTTTAACATGATATATGAGATACGTGCAAAGTTTGAACATTATCGATCTAGGCATGTCAGTGATATGGTTCTGGATAGCATTCTTTAAAACAAAATGGCTGCCAGTTGGCCATTTCAAATATATTCTGTTAAATAAAATGATGTGCTTCAAGGACGCAAAATGTATGTAACAAGTTTGAATGAAATACATTCATGCACAACTGAGATCCAGATTAGAAAAAAAAGTACTAGTGAATAGCCAACATTTTTAAATAGAATCTTGAAACAGAGATGACAAGCATATTCATCAAATAATGTTAATGTGTAAAGTTTGAATGAGATCAGTCTAGAAATGTCAGAGATATAGATGCAGACGCATGAATACAAGCATGAAGACTAACAGAAGTGAGTATGTCTGAACTGGGACTTATTTATAAATATTACCTGTGTTATAGGAATATACAGTAGTTCATCATCATTACAAATTAGAGTCAAGTCACCACATTGTCTTAGCCGTCCTTCTGGCTGATATACTACAGTATCTCTGAAAGCAATTTCATCCGGTGATGAGTCATCAGATGTCTTTTCAGGCTTCTCTTTCTCCTCTTTTTCTGTCCTCTCAATTTTATCTTTTTCCTCTACATCCTCCATCTCCACATCCTGCGAGTTCCCGGCAGCTGCAAGTTCCTCCTCTCCAACTTTCTCATTTTCTCCTTCCTCTGGATCCTCATCGCATTCAAAGAACTCATCATCATCCTCGTCCTCATCTTTGTTGCTAGGTGAGCTGGCCAAAGATCCACGATCGCTTCCTCCAAAGCTGGCTTGCGACAAACTGGCAGGGAGGAATGAATTAGAAGATAGACTAGGCTGAATGTTTGTACCTAAAGACACAGCACTGGAAGACTGGGACATACTAGTATTTTCTCTTGCGATCTTCCTTGCAATACAACAGTTGAGCATCTGTAGAATAAAGTAACATGTGGACATTAGATTTGGTGGATAACCAAGCTGATTAAAATAGAGTTTCTGGATCTGTAATTGCATTACAGTCTCGCAAGATCAGCAACGAAGCATGTTACAGGTAACTTTCTACAACACAGCTTATATATTTATATTGGCGAATCTCGTCACAAGAGCTGCCATCATAATTTGCATATGTATAATGTTATGTATGATGTATGTGTGAAGTTTGAATGTAATCAGTCCAGGTATGTTCAAGATATACATGTAGGTGCATGCATGAATGCATGCACAGATGCACAGATTGACGCACACACAGAAGTCAATCTGTAAGTCCCCATTTTTGGACTGCATTTGAACAGGGACTAACAAATGTCTTTAAACTAGTGTAGTGTTTTAATTACCTGTAGTTTTTGATGTAATAGACAAGATCCTAGGCATGGTGCACCACTCTGTAACCTATAACAGTAATATGTATTGGAACTTGTCATCATTTTGAGTGATTATCTGACTACAACAAACAATGATGAATGTTTAACTCATTAAAGTATCAAAATCTGATAACTTGTAGTATTTGCATATTGTTGTCAAAATACAATACAGAACTGTGATTGATTCAATTCAAAGTGGAAGACTCCACTATCATAGAAACAAGTAATTAGTCTTAGTTACAGGGTTAAAGGTAATAAAAAGATGCAGCAAGACCAACGTCTAACTTGCAATATTAAATCAATAAACAAGATACAATGTAATACACACAGGTAAACACAGGTTACACAGGTTACACAGGTAAACACAGGTTACACAGGTTACACAGGTAAACACAGGTAACACAGGTAAACACAGGTTACACAGGTAAACACAGGTAACACAGGTAAACACAGGTAAACACAGGTTAAACAGGTAAACACAGGTAAACACAGGTTACACAGGTAAACACAGGTAAACACAGGTAAACACAGGTGAACACAGGTAAACACAGGTTACACAGGTAAACACAGGTTACACAGGTAAACAGTAAAAATCTTAACCATGCATGTAAATAAATTTGAAATGTTGATTGCAAAGGAGCTCTCAGCAATAATTATAGCCTACAATCTATGCCATGTTCCACTCACTATATGCCTAGGTACAATGCTAGTAATATCTTATTACATGTACCTTTTCAGATTTACCACACACTATGAAATGCTATATACTTTTAGCAGATGAGCACTAACCTTGG